TCTCTACACATCTCTCTCTCTCCACTAACTACTCTCTCTCTCTCTCTCTCTCTCGTCTTTAAGGGTCACGCTCCTCTCTGATTTCTCTCTCTCTTTATCCTAAAAGACCCTAGGGCCACACTCTTCTCTCTCTACTCTTTGATTTTTTTCTCTCTCTCTCTCTCTCTCTCTTAAAAAGACCCTAAGAGGCACGCCCCAACATAGAGACTCTCTCTCTCTTACTCATTATCTAATCTAAGGGTTGGAAAAATTAGGGTTTGAGCCTAATTATTTTGGAATTAGGGTTTTGTAGATATTTAAGGGTGGTTACCTAGTTTGGCCAAAATTAGTTTTTCCGATTTGAGATTGAAGAGACCGTTGATCCTAAGCCATTGGATGTGGTGACTCGGTGTGGGGTGTAAAAAACCCGATTGAGGTAATCTCCGGTATCTTTTCTTTTATTTGTTTGTTCTTTTATTTTATATTCTCAAGCACAATATTAAGTTGTACGAATGACATCAAGTAGTTGAGATTTATTTTATTGATGTGTTATGTATTTTTGAAATTTCTATTATTTGTAATATGACCATTTGTGAGTGAACTTGTTACCAAAATTATAAGGGGTAATTATTATAAAAAATAAATAAAAAAATTGTATTTCCCTGGTTAAAAATCACATAGGTGTTTATTTCAACATTGGGATGCTCAAGCAATTTTAAGTCGACTCATTGAATTTTGAATCATTCTTGGCCAGGCTTTCCCTCAGTTCACATTAAAAATTAAAAGCAAAAGACAAAATATTTGTCTTTCAAATAAAGCAACACATGAACAAGAACAAAGGCCCCAAAGTATGCAATAAAGAAACACTAAAAGGGAGACATTTATGGGGGAGCATGTTACGTAAAAGGTTCCATTTCAAAATGTGTATAAAAAAAGGTTTCCACTTAAAAAAAAGGGCCACAAGATAATAAAGACAAAGGCAAGAAGGCAGCCTCTCTCTCCAATGGGACCAACTTGTTCCTCTTCACCACGTCAAGGGACCCAAAGCCCTCATTTTTCTATGAGTAAAATGGCTCATTGAGTATTCAGTAAAAAAAAACATTATTAAGTGATTAAATTGAGCCTTAATACTTAATAATTCATTACTTAATGAGCCTGAATAATTCTATTATTAATTGGTCATCTTATTATCTATTGATGTTATTTTTTTTACAAATGCTTAATAAGGGGTGCAGTTTATATAATGTTACAATATTACTTATAGAAGTAAAATTGCAATGTTTTATACTATCTTTTTTAGTAGGTCCGTATAGATTTAACATGTCTTTTAATACAATATTAATAAACAATGTCTTTTAAGATAATGTTGAATCAACTTCATCTAAAACAAATAGACAATATAAATTAATGCAAGTAAGATCGCCACCTTATTTTTTTTAAAAAAATCATTAAGTAATGTTAGTAACACAAGTGTAAAAGTCTAATGACTCATCAAGTTTTAATTTATGTTAAAGTATATCAAGAGATCATTTGTTTTTACTTTTTATTTTTTTACTTTTTACTATAAGGAGGTCACAAACATTCTTGCCCATTGAAGTTACAAACTAGCATTGAAATTTATTAAGGAGTATTAAAAAATTTCAATAAAATTGTTGAACTTAGTACTACAATCCCACAATAATTTATTAAAATGACTTAGTCTAGTAGTGAAAATCTTGTCTTAAGAGTCGTTACATAATATAATCATTGAACCACTAACTAGCGAAAACCACGTACTAAATATAAAGTAACAAACTTTTTTATCCATGCAGTTTCTAATAATCAATTCCAAAATTTCATCGACCCCACTTCTCCCTCTCTCTCTCTCTTCCCCAGTTACATGAAGTGTACTTCTCTCTCTCTCTCTCACAGCAGTTTTATGAGAAACCTGTCTCTCAACAATTTTATCACAAACCCACTCATTCTGTCTCTCACAATTTCGAATGACTAACTCAACAACGAACCCATTTCATCATAATGGAAATCTATTTTATCATCTCTCTCTTTTCATGATCAGTTTCATTGAACTTTCATTCGATATCAATAAAAAACAAAAGAGTTAATTACGGATCTGAAAATAACTTAAAATACGAAATTCTCCTAGTCGAAAATTATAAATAAGGTCGATCAATCTGTATTTTTAAATTTTTTTTAGAAATTTACCACTGGGACCGTGTTTTACAATTTTTTTTTTTTTTTTCTTTTTTTTTCAGTTTTTTCATTACTAGGGCAGTGCCCAAACCATTAGGGATAATGCCCAAGCGGTTCGAGGTTAATATCCTCATACCACCATACGAACACAACAAAACCCCGATAAAGCAGTCTAAGGTCCCCATCCTCGGACTATTATTTTTCTCATGAAATAAAAAATAAAGCGCGATATGATGCTCAGTCCAGAGAGCTATCCGAGGTCCCCATCCTCAGGCCTTTGTTTTTCTCAAAAAATAAAGCGTGGTCTGAAGGTTTCAACCTCAGACCGCTTGGGCACTATCATAATCATGAAAAATTTTTAAAAATAAAATAAAATTCTATTTGAGGGTGGCATCTTCTGACTAAGCGACGATTAAAAAAAAAAAAAAAACATAGGTTTACTGAGTCCGGTTAGGGGCGGTTTTGGGGATCTCCTAGCCTCGAGTACAACCCAAATTTCAGGCCCAAAACCGGCAGATTTTAGTCAAACCAACTGGTTTTTCAGCAAACCAGACAGGTTAGTGGATATAAACACGATTTATGAACAAATAACGGTATAGTTAAAATAACGCCCGTTATTTTCAATTGAAACCGTTATTTGATGCAAGAATTCATGTCGCTTTTTTCGGCTTTTTTTATTCTTTTTTCTGCCACTTTTTGGCATTTTTCATGCTTTATGGCTATAAAATACTATTTATTGTATGTAAAATGAGCAAATTCGAATCCGAGATTGAAAAATCAATAGATTTTGTGGATTGAAATGGTGGATTTTTATGCCTTTTGAAATTTCCACCATTTCATCAAAATACCATCTTCAATAGACAATGGTTTTTGCTGAAATTTAAGGGTTTTTAATCCTAATAGGATCATCTACCATATACCTCTTTCAATTGGTTCAAAATCAAAAATATTGGGGGTTGATTTTGGCCCGAAAAGTTGATGATCGATCCACAAAAACATATTTTGGATCAAGTTTTTGGTCATTTTTTATCAAATTGATTTGTGTATTTTGATCATCAAGGCTCCATCTATCACATAAACTAGGTATGCTTATTTATTATTGAGTAAATATTTTTATAATAATTTTTTTCTTGCTCGATTTCACATATCTGAAATTTCCATGATTTTTTCAATTAAATAAAAAATAAAAAATATTTTTTTTTATGATTTTTTGTGCATTTGCAAGGGTGATCAAAGCGTTTACAATGCTTGTGTGTTGGTTTGTTTGATTATCCAAACATTGAGGGTCGTTACTTGCTTGAAATGTGGCTCGATTTTAGGAGTTCTTGAGAAATCGATTTTTCAAAAAATAATAATTACTTAATAAAATTATTATTTTTGATGAATATGAGAAGTGTTTTTTCTATTTTTCTTAATAAAATAATATTTTTAATAAAATTATTTATTTTGATAAAAATATGTTGTTCTGATTTACATGACAAAACCTATATGTATTGGCCTCTATACCTGTGACATCTTGTCTTTTACAGATGAAATTCTAGATTGGCACATAAAAGTTGGTGGATTAATTTATTTTTCATTATTTCTAATTGTGATTAGCAGTATCTTGACTTGGTATAAAACTTGAAACTAGAGTCGGTAAACATAATGGGTGCGTTTTTATAGAGCTTAGGCTCTAAACAATCATTACAACCTACCTTCAAATACTGTTGAGAAATGTGACTTCAGTATTGGAAATCTTTGTGATAGCCTTAAAATATATTTTCATATTTATTTATGAAGTTTCAAGTTTCATAAATAGTTTAGATCGACGTATCTATGAAAACTTAAAAACTTTGAAAATTGACGGTTCAAAAAAGCGTTGTAAAATACGTTGTTTCCTAAACTTGCAATCCACTTTTGTCTCATGTCCGTACATCTTGATGTTGAGATCAATTTGAAAATATTTGGGCATCAAAACTACCTCTTCTAGTGAAAAGTATGAGATAGGCTCAAAGTTGATTGTTTGGAGCTTTGGCTCTATATAAACTTTTCCCACATATAATAAGCATAGATTAATGTAATGTTTCTGTCTAGTTGCAATACCTAAATATCTAGATTTACACTGGGGCTATACATCTGGGTAAGGTGTTGTAAATTTATTATGAGACTTCATTCTAGGTAGCAAAAAGATTGATGTGATCTCGTTGGGATCATGTACAATACCATAATATTCAAATATTAATTGATAACAAAAGTTGTTTCAATTTATTTATTTATGTAAGATGAATGTATGTGATAAAATCTAAGTTTTTTATTTTATTTTATTATTTATTTTTTGGATTTTTTATTCTTTTTTTTTTTTACTTGACCGGTTAATCCAATTTCGATTATAACCATTCCCAGCCCCATTCCCAGTTAAATTTTCCGGTGCGATTAGTTTACAATTCCTTACAACCATATAATGTGAAATTTGACAGTTTGTATGTGTCGCAAAGTTTAAAAAAAATTCTTTGTGAAACGTGTACTTAGTTAATAAAATAATAATAGCCACCCAATTTCACATCCAAAGGTCAAGATTAATGTCAAAAGATAAATAGTCTCATTCTATACTTTCCCTTTTGTATTTTAGGTAAAATTTTCAGCTCCGTATTCCAAATCACTTACAACAAAAATTCATTTCATCAAACTCTATACAATCCATTTCCTCTCTCTCTTCTATGAAATTTCCAAAGATCAATTCCACAGCAAACCATTTCATCAAACTTTCACTCGACTATAAAAAATAAAATCCGTTCTATCAAATCCAAAACTCTCTATACCATCCATTTCATCACACTCTCTCTCTCTCTCTCATTTGGTTCTTTCCCACTGTCTGACAAGAGTTCAGAGAGCTTTTCTTTCCCATTCTGGTAACAATCCAAGTCAGAAAATCATTGTCAATCTCATCAATCTTCTTTTTCTAAACAATTGAGCTTTTTAATAGAGAAAAAATGCTCTCTTTCTCACACTACACAACAGAGCTTTTTAAGAGAGAGAAAATGCATGGGTATCTGTGTAGCTGCCCGGCGGTGGCAAAAGTACGAGTTACGATGCCGCCTTTTGCCCCTCTTCACGTGATTTACCTCCGAACGAAACGACCGAAATTTCGCTTCTTTTGGCGCCGAAAAATTGCAGAGAGGGAGGGAGAGAGATATGGCTTCTATGCTTGGAGAAATTTCAGAAAAAAGAGGAGCATTATCAGTGGCTTCAGCTCTGTAACTTCTGAATACTTGTGGGTTTTGACTGAGGCCACAAGTTGAAGAGAAAAGATTTTTATGGATTTTCAGCTCTATAACCTCTTCAATTGAAATTCTTCAGAGAAACAGAGTCTTTAATGGCTTCAGCTTCTGATGCTTCTCGTATCTTCTGGGTTTTAACTAATGATGAAAATTGCAGAAAAAATGGATCATATTTATAAGTTTCTCAGACCTCAATTCTTCTGGGTGAAGCAGAGAAAATGGTGGGTTTCCCATGGCCTGAGCTTCCAAAATCTGAGCCGTCCGATTTCTGGGTTTTTCGCCATTATACATAAGTTAAAGCTAAATTGGGGTATTTTTTCTCTCGTTTTGGCTTCTGCAATTTCAATGTGGCTGTGGTTTTCTTGCATTAATCCGCCATTACTGGAGCTACGAAAAACTCGCCCGGCTATTTTCTCTGTTACCGAGCCAATGCCTTGTCAAACCAAACCATTTCTTGCCTTTCTCCTCGCTTTGATCGCCATTAATAGCCCTGCTGCCATTAAACCTGCTTAATCCCGTGATCTCAGAGAGCGACCTCTTCGAATTTATCGCTCTGCTCTCTGAACCGCCATTAACTCCTCCTGATTCCTGCACAAAAATCTCTTCTCTCTCTTCATTATTTCTAGAGAGAGAAGGCCCACAATTCTCATGTTCTCTCTCTTCCCAACCCACCTGCTTTTTGGGCTGGTGCTCATCGGCGCTAGAGAGAGAAAACCTCCCGCTCTCTCCTCTCTCCTCCGAAACCCGCTGCTTTTTAAGGCTAGAGAGAGAAAGCCTCCCTCTCTCCTCTGAAAGCTTCTCTGTCCCCTCTTCTCTCTCCTCTGAATTCCCCTGCTCTCCCCTCCTGTGCACATTATGGTTAGAGAGAGAGAGCCTCTCGACGTTCTCTCTCTCATCCTGCTTACGGCTAGAGAGAGAAAACCTCCCACTCTCTCCCAAGATCATCTCAGATCTCAGGAATAGCAAATCGGACGGTCTGAGATCGCTCCATCTTTGTCGAAAACCAGCGTCTGAGACGATAATTCGATGCCCCACTCTTCTCTCGAAGCTCCTTCTCTCCTCCATTAAAAGCCCATCTTTTCTCCCTCTGTCAAAGCACCCCATGCTCACAGAATCGCCGGAAAATCCCATTTTCCGGCCAAAAAACTCGATCCTATGCCCTGAAAATTCCAGTTTTTGGTCTGAAAACTCCATTTTCTTGCGCTTAGAGTTCGAATCTGAAGACCGTCTTGGCGTTTCCTCTCCCTCTTTCTGAACCACGACCTGCAAAAAGTCCCCGGTAAATATATCTCCGGCGGACTTCCGGCCCGAAGATAGCCGGGACTCGCCGTCACCAAACCCCTGTTTCTGAAGCGACTCATCAAAGAGCAGTACATCTTCAGGGTCGACTCGTACTCGACACAGCGGGCAAGTCGAGTGGGACTCGAGCCATGTATCCACGCACTCGACGTGGAACGCGTGCTTGCACTTGGGCAAGAGCCTCAACAATTCTACTGACTCGAACCGATTCAAACATACAGCGCATTCGAGACGGTTCTTTGGACCGTTCAGAGACTCAAATCGAAACATCGGCAACGACTCGATTATCACTCGGTCGACTCCCGAGTGTCGAGCCCGCAAGAAGCCGTTAGGGTTTTGGCCGTTATGGGGCCCACGCTGGCAGTGCTTGACGTAGAGAAGCAGGAGAAACGTAACGGAGAAAATGGTGGTGAGAACGCCGATTATAACGGCGATGCTTGGCTTGAAAGGCGCAAGATTCGATTTCGGAATGCCTTCCGACTCTGACGGCTGCCCGAGTCCATTACCGAGTTCATAACCATCGTCAGCGTCGGTGGCTCGGAGCGTGGCGACTGAAAGGAGCAAAACGAAGTGAAATCCAGTTCTTCCCGGCCCCATTCTAGAGAGAGAAAGAGGCGCCATTGTAGAGAGAGATGGCCTTCTTCTCTGCAATCCCGTTCCAGAGAGAGAGCCTCCTCTGCAGGAAGCCTATCTCAGAGTGCAGCAACTTGGTCCGAGAGAGAGAAAGCTCTCTTTGCAGCGACCGCATTTTAGAGAGACAAAGCTTGCTTTTGCACTGCTCTTCATCCAGAAACCTGAAAAGGGGCAAAAACCCTAAAGAACAAAGAGATTTTCTCGTTTTAAAATATCCAGTAAAAGCACTTTCTCAAATGGGTCATGGGTTTTCATCACTCTCTAGCTGACTTGACCTGAAGCTTTTCTTTTGGTCGTTTGTTAACAAACCATAGATAGTTTAGAGAGAGGAAACAAGAGAGAGAGTAGTCAGCTCACCTGAAAGCCGGACATTTTCACGGGTCCTTTAAAAGCTTCTTTCTCTCTCTAGATCCGCTTCTCACCGGGCTCGACGGCCGCACCTGTAAACACGCAAGACCGTAAGGGTCCTTTCAAGCTTATAATAATCCAAGCACTGGCGCCTGTTTTGAGGGGAAGAGTCATCAGGTTCTCCTCTGGTGTCCGCCTTTTCTCTCTCTAACCATCTAAACTACCCTGTCCGGCGTTCTCTCCCTAACCTTCTAAAATATCCTGCTCTCTCTCTAACCTTCTAAACTACCATGTCCGGCTTTCTCTCTCTAACCTTCTAAAATACCCTCCTCTCTCTCTAACCTTCTGGTTCTTTGTGGGTGTCACGCTTTCTCTCTAACCTTCTAATATAACCAGGTTTCTCTCTCTAACCTTCTGGTTCTTTGTGGGTGTCGGGCGTTATCTCTCTAACCTTCTAAAATATAAGCAGCTTTCTCTCTCTGGCTTTCTTGAAGAGACCGCTTTCTCTCTCTAACTTTCTAAAACAAAAGAAGGAAATCTTGGGTGCTTTGTTTTTTCTTGATTTTTTTACCTGAGTCTGTCAAAGCCAGTCAATGGTAATCAGTGGAAGAAGAAAGGGTGTTGGGTCTGTGGATTATATTCCTGTACGGCTGTAAAAATGCATGCTTGTGTTAAAATAGTAACTGTACTTGTGTGAAAACGTAAAAAGGAGTTTTCATAGTTTATGCAAGATGAAAAGTATTTGTAATTTAATACGGAAAATATTTTGAGAGGGCTGCAGCCTTATCAAAATGAAGGAAGGCTCGCATTAAAATTTTGGCGATTTAAAAACTTTCAAATCATTCATATTAGTAAAAAAAAAATTTGGATTTCAGATCTCTAAAAATAATGTCTATTTCACACATTATCTAGACATATCATTCTCCCTTAAAAATACATCTTCATGGATACGCAAAATATTTACTATTTGTGGAGCTTCAAATGTTATAATCGGTATTGGAAATTGATTTTAGAGTTTTATGATGCCTAAGGTGCTTTGGATGGGAATTTAAGGTGAGATTTTATTTTATTTTTTAAAAATTGTATCCATTTAATACTTGGAGTCTAGATTTTAAATAATTTGTTTATTATCGTTTGCCACTAATATTGCTTTCAATATTTCAAAATCTAGATTGGTGGGGCTGATCGTTCACCCATAAAATATGTGTCGGATCATTGGATTAACAATCTATATCGGGTTTAAATTGGTCCAAATCGGTGATTCAAAAAGTATTAATAAATAAATAAATAAAATAAAATAAACACTAAATTGGGGTTTATGGTGTAAGAATTTAGAATGAGCTAAAAAAGCAAGGGTTTTAGGGAGGAATGGGCCGACTCGTACCATCCTATAACCAGTTTGATCCTGATTGGTTCCCATTTGGATTGGTGATCCACATCGTAAGTCATCAGGTTTTAAAAACATTGATTACCTCAATAGGTTGGTACTATACTTATTTTAAAAAGGAAATTTTATTCAAGTACTCACGTAAATGAGCTATTTAACATTCTACCCATGTCGTTTAATATAATTTCAACATACCTATCAAAAGACACATGATCATGAATTGGAAAATTTTCAAATGCGTAAAATGTAAAATAGTTTACCTCTTTATGGGCCTTTTGATAAGAGAGGGCTTTCTAGGTGACCTCACCCATATATAAAGAATATGTGACCCCTTGCATCAGCCTTCATATATGAGTAGATGGCAGAGATGGCTTGAGTCACAATGTCACAAGCTAGCCCTTAATCGTCAGATATTGATCAGACGACTTATAGTGTTTTATTTTTTATTTTTATTCAACAAATAAATTTGAAGCAAAATTTGGAGCATACATAGATCTAACAAGGGCATACATGATAAAAATATTTAAAAAAAAATTCACAGAGATGAAAAATTATTAGGATACCTTTGAAAATTATAGGGGCATTTTGATCATTTATTTTTACATAAAATATTTTTGTTTTATTTTTTCCAAGTTCGCCATATTTTTTCGATAGGACGTCCAAAATTTTATCAAAAAAATGTTTTGTAAGAAAAAAATGAAAAATAAAAAAGTGTTTGACGTGATATTGCGGTAAAAACAATCATATCCGTTTAATTCAGATCGAAAGGTTAAGAAATAAAGTCACTTGTAAGTTATATGTTGTTGGGGTCATAGAAACATTTCCCTTGATTAAATTTGATCTAGATTGTGAATGATTGGGAGTGACGTGGCAGGTCACACCAACAAAATCATGAGGTAATCAGAGAACCAAGGGATCTGAATTGAAATAATTGGCTAGTGCCATTTTCTCTCTCTTTTTCTCTTTTTCCATTTTTAGTTTTCTTTTAAAAGTTTAGGCTATTATTTAAATGTTTTCATACCAATTCGCCAATTATCTGAAATCGGCAAATCAGATCGGTCCAACTGATGATTGATCTGGCCACTTCATCTAGTTTTTAAAACATATGCGTGTAGTTTATATAAGGTATCCACCTTAAAACCGTTCAAGAAAATGTGGTTTTACTACAAAAACAGTTGCGATGGTTTGCAAACATATTTTCATCTCTGATTACGAAATATAAAGCTCAAAAAATGGTGCAATGAAGCAAACACCTGAAAATATTAAAATTGACGGTCCTGATAATGGGTTGAAAGATGCACTCTATTTAAGGCTTGATATCCTCTTCTCTCCTCCTCCTCCTCCTCCTCCTTCTTCTTTCTTCTTTTTTTTTTTCGTATATCCATACAACCTTGTTCCAATTTGAAGGGTATCTTTAGCATCAAAACAACCTTGTTCCAATGGATTGTTGAGTGTGTCTCACTTATATAGCATACGGTTAACACCCTGTACAAACGTTTTCCTAGCATGAAAGTGCCGTGGTGAAAAACCTTGACTGGTTGACATATCTGGTATTGAGGGTCATCATCGTTAAATCAATGACTGATAGGAGATAGAAGAGAAGCGAGACCATGCAACCATTGATTAGAAGGTGATGAACTTCGAGGCTATAATATACTTAACCATTGATTAGAAGGTGATGAACTTCGAGGCTATAATATGCTTACTTGCTCAACTAAAGAGAAGTGATAATAGTAAGAGGACCCTACCATAAATAGTGGTGTGAGACCACTATGGATCACCATTGATTTCAATATTTATATCTTGTGTTAAAGTTCAAATTTTACTCACTACCAGAGTTCTTTTCTCTCTCCCCATAAATTTATCACTCCTACAAACTAGGAGCTATACAACCTGTCCCTATCTCTTTTCCTCTCTCTCACTCACACGATATGGAGGCCCCTTCATGTCTCTTTCTCTCTCCAAATATAGAGGCCCTTGCACATCTCTCTCTCTCTAGCCAATGCTCCTCTCTATCTCTTTTGCCTCTCGCCACCATCTCTCTCTCCCTCATGGCCTCCCTCCTCTCTCGGCCCTCCCCTGTACCTCTCTCTCTCTCCTCTCTATTAGCATATGTATATATGGGGCTTAAAACCCAAATATACAAAAATACAGTTTCTAATACTCTCTCGTTAATCTCTCTTCATCCTGGCCTTTGTCCTCTCAGCCCTCCCCTACTCTCTTTCTAGAGAGTAACTCCTGTCATGGTTTCCTGCACTCATAAAGTTTGTCAACTATATAGAAGCCCCGCACCATCTCTCCAACACAACTTTTTACTCTCTACCATTTCTCTCTCCATATTATGGCTCAACACATCAGAACCATCCTCAACCAAACACCCAACAAAGTGCTTTTGAATTATTTTCTTTCTTTAGCTCATACATGCAATCCTCATGAAGAAACCCAACAAAATGTAGTGCCTTAAGAAATCACAAATGACTTAGCATCAATTGGGTTTGATAGTTCAAAACAATCACAAATGACTTAGCATCTATTGGGTTTGACAATCAATCACTAAGTGTTTCTCCATTAATTCAATCTGGGTTATCTCTGATTCAGGGTGGTGGACATTTCAGAGAGAGAAATATGACCTTTTGTCTCACTGAGGAAATTCAAAATATGTGTCGATTACGGATGGAAAGATTAGAAATGTGTGCAGTGATTTTCACAAACTAATTATTTTTTATAGTAAATGGAATTATTAAAGAGGAAAATTGGAAAAATCTATCGCTTGAATTTCCTAGCTTAATTTGTTATCAATATTTGATAGCATAAACTTGTTATCTCATGATTCTCAATGAAGTTCTTTTAGAATTGAATGTTTTCATAATCGAACAAAACTCTTCAAGAACTTAGAATATTGCAAAGTTCTAGATCAATAAGATGTGGTGTCTCTGATTGTTTAAGCGATGGACGAAACATATATTGGAGTGTAACAGAAGAAAAACAAATATGATAATTCATTCTCTAAATGAGCCCAAGGATAATGCTCCAGTAGTGTTATAATGGTCCAAAACTATAATCTCTTTTGATATAATATTTTAAAAACCTAAAAATGTTGTTTCATTCTAAACCCCTTTTAAAATGTTGAGCAGATTGAGCAACCCATTAGATGGTGTTGAGATGCAAAATCTGAGCCTAGATTACAGATGACTTTAAGAGAGAGATAGAGAGAGAGGGGTAGGGGAGGGCTGAGAGAGGGAACAAAAGAGAAGGAGAGGGGAAATAGGCCATGAGAGAAAGGAACATTGGCTGGAGAGAGAGAGAGGGGAGAGGTGCAGGCCCCCTTTTCTTGTGTGAGCGAGAGAAAATGCAGAGAGGACAGGTTATACGGCTCCTAGGTTGCACATGTCTCACTAATTTATAGGGAGAGAGAATGGAATTTGTAGGGTGCTGTCAAATTTGAATTTTAACTCAAGATATGAATCTTAGAATGGATGATGATCTATAGGGGTCCTATGCGACTATTTGTGGCAGGGTTCATTTATCTAATCCGACCGATTATAATATAAAACTGCTTAATGTTTAACCAATCTGACCGATCATAAATCAAGCCAAATCGATTGGCCGAATTAATCAAATATTAGTTTTAATAGGTGGTTAACCAAATACGATTTTTACTTTAGATCTGACTTACAAGAGCATCAATCGACGGTTCGATCCATAGACCAGGTGGTCCAATCCAATCTAATGATCTTTCAATCAAGAACGGTGGGTTGCCTATCACCGGACACATAAATTACATGTATGAGGACCCCATAAAAAGGTTTATTAATACACATTATAAAAGGAAATATAATATATGAGAGAGAGATACCAAGGCATTTGTTGCGGCTTCTTGTCTAGAGAGAGATACCAAGGCATTTGTTGTGGCTTCTTGTCTCACCCCATGAGCCCTATGCACATAAGGGACTGGAGAAATGACAAGTGCCCTTCACCATTACACACAGCTAGGTATATATAGCCTTTCTACATCACATCTGTTAAGGTGATATTTCACTATTTCTACATCACATCTGTTAAGGTGATATTTCACTATTTCTACATCACATCTGTTAAGGTATGGCATCTTCGTAAATTCCCAAAGGAAAAGGTTTCTTTTGGGTCAATAAAGGACTTGTGTTTCTTCTTTTTTTCTCAATAATTTAGACTTTATTCCATCGTGGTTTGGCCTTTTTGCTTGGTGGGTTGCTTGAGACTCAT